CGAATTTAGAAAGAATTCTTTGTTGTCTTGGAGGATCACGTGATACGATCGTTGAATCTAACGTGGAAAGCACGAATCATACTCGTGGCGAGGCAAAAGATAACGGATATAACACGTATGTGACACGAATGGCATCGTTAAATTAAAATAGTAATTTCAAACGATCCCGCAAAACAATTAAAAAAAAAAAAAAAAAAAATAGAAAAACGAAAACTTTAAGATTAAATCAATCCTATTTAATCATAAAAGAAGAAAAAAAAAATTTACCAATTCTCCTCTTAATAATTTCCATTCGTAAAATTTACATTTTACTTTTCCATCCAAAAACACGTTCCATTATTAATAAAAAAAAATTACCTTCTCAATCTCTCCCTTAAAACATCCGCCGCTTAAAAAAAATTAATATTCCACTCGCTAATTCCTCCCCCCTCCCCTTTATCGATCAAAAATTCCATTCCACCTCCGTAACAATCAAGAGTCCCTCCCTTCTTCCCCTCCAACTGAGAGAGCAGGCCGATTATTAAAGATTATCCAACGCCGGATCCGTCGCCGAAACGCGCGCGCCTTAATCCTTTGATAATTACGGTAAATTGAATCCCAGTCGACGGGTTAGGACGGGCGGGGTGTACGTACGTCGCACGGGGTCGCGGCGTGCGAGTCGGCTGAGTTATCACCGGGTGCCAGGAACAGGGCCGGCGGACCTCGTGACCCGATATTGCGCCGGAACCGGGAGCCCCGATATTGGCAGCACTTCTCTCAGGAACGGGGAACAATAGGAGCGGTGGCGTGTGCGCGCTATCTCCCCCTTTTGCTCTTTTGCTCGAAAACTTTCAGTCAAACCGAGTACCCTCACACGGGGAGGGGAGGAGGGGAAGGGAAACACAACGCCATTACCCAACCTGAACTTATCGACTATCAACTTGGTGTTTCGCGCGAAAAAGGATCGGCATCGAAAATAGACTAGGGCAGGCGTGGAAAACCAAGGAATGACGAGAGGGAGGAGAAAAATTGGTTCTTCTTGGGGTTAAGGATTCTCGTTTCACTCCTGTTCGTTACTCTTGAAGTTATCGAGTCGTACTCGTGTGGATGGACGGCGTGTGTGCGCGCGGTTTCGATCGAAATGTGGTTTTAGAGAGTTTATGAGTTTTCGGAGAATCCTAACCTCTCCGCGTTTCCGCGAACGTTCTATTGTGCTTTTCTTCCTTCCCTTTCTCTTTCTTTCTCGTTTTTACGGCCACGTTGTTCTGTTGTTTTCCTTTTTTCCCGCTCTTTCTCCTCTTTTTTTTTTTTTTCCTTTCTCTTTTCCGTCTTTCCGATTTAAGCGGATTTATATTTTGATCGAACGTAGAGGGGATTCTAATCTCACATTTAATTCTTGAAATCGGAGATTGTTATATAAACGATAGTTCTGCTTTCTCTATTTCTATCTAAGTGAAAGGAAAGAAAAAAAAGAAATTTTAATTTTCCAATTACAGAGAATCTTAACGTATAAATAATATATATATATATATACATAGTTTTAACCTTTAATAAAAATAGCGATAAAAGTATATAATCGAACGAAATACGAGATTCTCGACTCCATTACCAACGCTTTCCCTCCCCTCTTAAATAACGATTAGATCGATCGACCATCGATATATCTGCATACGGAATGGAAACGCAGCAATCGATAAAGATTCCCATCTTTCGTTTCACGACGGTTTTTAAACGGTTTTTCCATTCTTTC